ACTTCCAGCATCACAGTTTGGAGCCATCGCCTGCCCAAGGGCAGCTCCAGCTCCATGGCAAAAAACCAATTCAAAGTACAAAACACAAGCAGGACATAAATGCTGTGGTGTCCCAGAAAGCAGGGCACTCAAAGCAAGCACTGCAGAAGCTTCGCTGACCCTCTAGGAGGTAGGCAAGCCAGCTGCAGGAGCAGAGCAACGGCTGTTCAGGCGGATCCCTTTATGCATACATCTCTGCAAAGAGCATGCTGCAGGACCTGGAAGTAAAGGCTGCCCCCATGCACTGACAGAAATGCTTCCAGGTGCCCTTTTTCGACAGATCGATTTTTCTGTCTGCTTTGTGCAATGTAGGTGCTCTTTTTCGAAATAGGCTTTTTTGAAAATATCTTTTGAAAAAGCTTCTGTCGAAAAAGGCTTGTAGTCTAGATGTACCCTTAGGCTACGTCTACACTGGCCCCTTTTCCGGAAGGGGCATGTAAATTTCACGAGTCGTCGTAGGGAAATCCGCGGGGGATTTAAATATCCCCCGCGGCATTTAAATAAAAATGTCCGCCGCTTTTTTCCGGCTTTTAAAAAAGCCGAAAAAGAGCGTCTAGACTGGCCCCGATCCTCCGGAAAAAGTGCCCTTTTCCGGAGGCTCTTATTCCTACTTCAAAGTAGGAATAAGAGCCTCCGGAAAAGGGCGCTTTTTCCGGAGGATCGGGGCCAGTCTAGACGCTCTTTTCCGGCTTTTTTAAAAGCCGGAAAAAAGCGGCGGACATTTTTATTTAAATGCCGCGGGGGATATTTAAATCCCCCGCGGATTTCCCTACGACGACTGCTGAAATTTACATGCCCCTTCCGGAAAAGGGGCCAGTGTAGACGTAGCCTTACTGAATAGCTGCAACCTACTGTGTCCTGGGTTCCACATAAATGACAGGATAATTAGTCTACAGTATTTGTATGGGTCTTAGCTTATGTAATCATTCCAAATAATCAGTATTATTTGTATTTGATTATGGAAAGAATTAGAGTTCTAGACTCTCATGGCCTAGCAGATTAATAGTCTTTGAGGTCTTGTTTGTTTCACATATGGTATTTTATTTCACTTTCGAAAGGGCCACAATGTTGGACTTGTATTGTACATGATTGTAGCACTATCAGCTAAAACTTCCTCCCTCAAGCTAAATTCATTTTAAATTGTTATGCTTAACAAACTTCCAAATGGGAGTCTAGTTGTTGATAGACATTTTGCATTGCATGTGTCTATCACTTTGATTTAATATGCATTTTCAGTGAAATTAAAGGAAAGGCCTCTAAGGTGGCAATTTAACAGCAAGATATGTTGTGAAATTCAGACATTGCAAATATCCAATTTTCAGTTTCTCGTGAAAAATAACCCTTAGAAAAATCAGAGAGTACTTTTATGGATGAATTATCAAAAGCTTAATTCCTTTGAAAATATTGTCCATTTTTAAAATGTATTCATGTTGATCTAAAGCAAACCAGGTCTTTTCCATTTATGTAAAATTTCAGCCATGTGGGATTTTTTTCTTCATTAATCATGAAAGAAATCAGGTTTTATGTGAAAATCCTGTTTTTGGTCTATTTTCCCTAGTAATATGATTTAATTTTCTTGTAGAGAAAACACACATCTAAATTTCTTTAAGGAATAAGGTACTTCTTGTCATGTTTGATACAAGTCATTTAAAAGGAATTCTAAATATATTCTGAAAGATGAGAGCAAAGCCAGCTCTTACGTGTCCCTAACAGAATACAAAATCAGAAATAGCAGAACACGTATAGTATAAAGGAGACCTGTTCTGTATCAAGTCTACTTTTGAAATGATCACAATTTCAGTAAATCTACAGGCAAACCACCTGATGTCTGATAATAGAACAACTATAATAATTTTGTAATGTCATTTTAATTTACTAAAAAGATTAGACGAACATATTTTAAAATACATGCATTTTCTTTTTAACTTCATTACAAACATCTTTGCATTGTCCTTTTTAAAAATAAATTGCTTGAGATCACTTTGTCCTTAGTGGTGCTGCTAGGAATCCCAAAACCTATGCTTGATGGAAGAATAAACATTCATTAAGCTTCAAAGGCTATCAAAACCTCTAGTTATTTTGATTTAGGGGAATAATTTAAAATAATCCCCATGTTTGTGAAAAAATATGTAAAGTAATCCATTTTCTGTCTGTCTCCAGCTTTGAGTGCCTTATACTCTTACAAAATGTTTTACTAACATTCCCTGTCTTGAATAATTTGGGGAAAAATGAATGCTTTGTATCTTGTAATAGAATGCTACTTTAACGACACTAGACAACAGATATAACTCATGGTTATGTGCTTATACTGTATCATAACTGCTGTTGGGATACATGCTTAAGAGAAGCTTGTCAATGGGCATATTAAAACCTCATTCAATAAATGTTATTTTTTAGTGAAAGAGCCAATCATGTTCTTTTAAGATGTTTTAGAATTGGGTCCCCCATTCAGAAAAAGACCTACTCATGTGCTTAGGAACTTGCTCACTCAGGGCATGTCCACATTAGGAAATTATTTCTAAATAACTAAATTAGACTTGACTATCGATTTTACAAAATCAAAATAACATGTCTCCACTACTGGGAAGCTTCGAAATTAGTCCAAGGCGGGCTCCGTTAATGTGGATGCACTACCTCAACTTAGAGCCCCAGGAAGCACTGGGGAGTAATTAATTCGAATTACTCTGGGGAGTAGTTATTTCGAAATAGCAGCACCAGAGTGTCCACACTAACACTGTTTTAAAATAACTAGTTTGAAATTAGCATTATTCCCTGGGAAAAGCAATACAGATTTCAAAATAAGTGGCCCATTATTTTTGAAATAATGAGTTTGGTAGTGTGGACACTCTGCTTATAAATTTGACCTAAGGGGAGGAGGGTTATTTAGAAATAATGCCCTAGTGTAGACCAGGGCTCAGAGCCTAGAGAAGGCCAATGGCGAAGATTTAAGCATATAATTTCTTTTTCTAATTACTTGATCCTCAATGAGGCAAAGCCATTCAAGCTTTAACATTATGAATGGGTTAATCTTATATATTTTTAATCTTTAAAATCAACGCAATCATCATCTGAAAGTATCATTTGGACTGTGGGCTGTGATAGGCACTGAAAAAATGAGACAAAACTTCAGCTGTTGTAAATCTGTGGATCTTGTCTGAAATCTATGGAGATACATTGATTTACATTGGCTGAGCTTGTAGCCTAATATTCATATTCAAATAGGTAGACTATAGCACTCTACCTGAGCTGTAAGGACATTTATTGAAATTGAACTATAAAGGTAAATGAATGGTATTATAGAAGACCAAACAAATTTAGAACCCATCCAAAGTCCTTTCTTTTACAAAATTCCCATTGTCTGGAATGGGAGTTTTGGCTAAGTAAGGACTACATGATCAGGCCCTTACTACTATATGAAATGTTAAAGCGGTCAAATTTGTCTGTACTCATGAACTTGTAACAGTCAGATTGTTCTGTGTTTACTTATGCAATGTACTATACATGAGCCATCAGAACTGTTTACAAAATGTATTAGTTTGACTCCAGCTTTCTAACCAGAAAGTAATCAAAGTGAAGAGCCCAGTTATTTCTGAAACCCCAGCTTCTCCTAACTTGAAATATTGTGTGCTTCATCTTTCTGTGTAATGGGGAAAACTGTAATACTCTATACTGAAGTACAGTTCACAATAATACTTCAAAGCACGGTACAAACAATAACTACCTAACTGTCATGTTGCCCCCATAGCACTAGTAAGTATTATTATTGTATATAATCTGGCTATTAAATAATTTTAAAAATTGACAACCAGTGAATGACAAGTCCATGATTTAGCTATTTTGCTGTATTAAGTGTTTCTTAGTATTTTATTTATTTTCCTCTAAAGTGTATGTGACTGGTAGACACATGTAATCAGGACTCTTCTAATGTAAATATTTTCTTAATAGGCTTGTTCAGGGTTGGGAACTATCACCATTAAATCATGGAAACTGATTTATTTTGTCCTCAGTCATCTTAACTTAAAATTTAGCAAAATTAGATTCCCTCTAGAGAACAATCTCACATTAAACATCAGGTTTTGTTGGACAGTACATGGAAATTATAATTTAAGAAAACAACAGCATTATTTTAATTGTTTCTTTTGGCTTCAGGAAGGCTCAAATAAAATTATTGGTCCTTCACAAGAAAGTTAGCCTCACAGTTTGAGAAGCATTACTTGATATGATGCTGGAAACTGTCATGGGTCAGGCTCCTCAGCTAGAGTAAACTGTTGTGCACCCCAAGAAATCAGGTTTCTAAAAGAGCCGAGGCACTCATCTACATCACCCGAGGAGTTGGTCTACGTAACCCGACCCATGTTTTTGGTTTTTTGCAACCAGCAAAGAGTTCAGTTCCCTGGGTCAGATCCTTGAGTGGTATAAATTGACACATCTCTATTTGCTATGTAAGCTATAATGATTTACTGCATCCGAGGATCTGGCACAATATATTTTAAATGAGATGTGTTCATGAGGTATTTGTAGATCTGATTCTGCATTCTTCCACCAAGCAGAATGCCCACTGAGGAAAGACTACAAGCTGAGGTCCCTTATTAGTTCAGGCTTCCAAGGTACCTTTAAGAACTCACAGGGGTGGTAATAACAAATAAATGTTTTAAGAAAACAGTAAGGTAGGATATTTCTAGCATTATTCAAAATGCTTCTGAAGTGAGAGGTCACTAAAGAGTTAAACTTGGTGCTTGAGTAGTTTAACATAAAGCCCATATTTGTGACTTTTTCCATATCAGAGTTCCTACAAGAGCATGTAGAATTTTACCCGTGACCGTTCCTCATTTTCTAATACCTTTATTCAACCTCTCTCACCTGTATGATTTAGCTATATTAAAATACCATAACATTCTCTCCCCTGGCACTCAACAGCAAGTGTCAAAGAAGAATGACAGTGGCTAGTTTGCACACTTGAAATGGTTTATTTGTTGCAATCCTGTGCACAAGATGTTTATCAGTAACCATCAGACAGCCATGCAGAAGAAACAGCCTTAATTCTGTCTGAGACAGCCTCTTATTGCTATTGATAGTTAGCATCAGTGTCCAATCTGAGAAATGGAACTGCTGCAGGCAACTTCAGTCAAGACATCCTATTGATCTACTGCTTCCTTTGCCTCCCTGAAGCTAAAGGAGAAAAAGAAAAAAGGGCAGAAAAGCTTGCTGCATAAGGGGTGATGGAGCAATCTATGCCTTACAATCATTCAAAAGGGGTGTGTATGTGCATGGATATTCCTGATATTCAGCACCTCAAACAATTGTAAATCATGCACACCGTCATGATAAATATAAATGTCAATGTGTTGGCAATGTCCTTTATATAAGAGGTGTCACTGGAACTACATTTTTAGCATGAAACATTTTTGCTGCTTTTTATTTTTCATTGACTTATTGTGCTTCTGTTATACTCTGCCTAACACAATCAATCTAAGCATAATATCTGAGACTCCTATTCATAAATAATACATATTTGGGTCATTTTCATTCGTATACCAAGATTTACAAGTGAAAGAAAGAAAGAAAGAAAGAAAGAAAGAAAGAAAGTGAGGAATGCTCTAATGAAGTAGATAAGATTATACATTGCTGTGATCAATTAATATGTTTTTCTGTGCATTAGGTGGACATCTTTATTGTACATATATAAGGATTTATAATTTAGAGGCAGAATCAACTGTAAGAATAAAATGCTCAAAGAGAAACTTCTTCCAAGTTTCTTTTTGAGAGAATGTGCTAAATGCAGCAGACTCAAGAACAACAAAAATCTGCATCATGGGTTAACATATTATTTAATTGAGCCCTGCCTACTACCTTTGGTATTTAATAGCATACAAATGTTGACCATATCAAATGATGCACCTAAGAAAAAAATAATACTCTATTGTTGCATACATTAAAGGACCTCAACATACATCATACAAAGGCAGACAAGTATTACTATCCCCATTTTACAAATTGGGAAAACTGAGGCACAGAAAGGTCGATGGCTAATTTTTTCAAAAGTTCACACACACAATTAAGCACATTTTTTTTAATTTTGTTTTTATGTGCATGAGTCACAGGAGCAAAACAAATGCTTATGTGTGAAGAAGACCTGAGTGCAGGAAAGGGCTCCACTCAAATCCTGTAATAGAAGTCTTCATCTTTTCCATTTCCAATTTCTTAGGAAAAAACTGAATTGCTTTCTGTGTCTCAAAGAGAAGGAGTATTCTGGACATGTGCTATGCCAGAGGATGCTGCTCTGCAAGACAGCATGCAGGTTGCAAGGGAGGAAAAGGCATTGTTGCAGGGGTGGAAGGGGGAAAGAGTTTCTCCTCCTTTTCCTGTTGGGTTGGGAACAAGTTTCCCTCTAAGCTGCGCTGCAGTATAGCGCTGCAGCTGCTTAATCAGCTTTGCCCATTCAGGCAACTCTGTGCATGGAGCCCTGAGTCCCTGTCTGGGTGGGGCTGATTATGCAGCTGGGGGCTGTGCTGCTGTTCAGCTTAGAGGGAACCTTAGTTGGGAGTCATGGGCTGGGAAGGGCAAACAAAGTGCGCACCCGTCCCCAGAAGATGGATTACATACCTGTGCATTTGCTCGGTGGCTGGCTGGTCATTCAACTCTAGACCAGTGGTCCCCAACCTTTTGGGCCTGCTGGGCGCCCGAGGGCAGGGCCACGCATGCACAGCGTCCCTGGGGGTGAGGCCGCTTATGCATCGCACAGCCGGGAGCGGGGATGCTCACGCGCCATACGCATACACTGTGCGCCCGGGGACGGTGTCACACATGCACCACGCGCCCGGGGGCGGCACCGTGCATGTGCCACTCGCCCGGGGTGCAAGAATGGCTTGGGCTGGCCCTGGTCACTTGGCGGGCGCACATAAATGCCTCAGTGGGCGCCATGGCGCCCGCAGGCACCACATTGGAGACCACTGCTCTAGACTGTGGCCTTAGTGAATACTGCATTATTAGACTAGCCCTTCAGCTCTGAAAATTTGCTTCAAATACATTTCCGATCAAAAGTGAAATTTTATATTTCATAGGTCTTTTAAAACACTTTACAATAGAAAATAAAAACAATAGGGAAAAGGGATACATTTCATTCCCCCTTTTTATTGTTAGATTTTGCAAATGAGCATTATATGTGCCTTCAAAAGTGTCAAAATATGTGATAAATTCACACAAAAATGGCCCATACCACAGGACTATTATAGTGAACCAGAAAGCACTAACCTGAGGAGTAGCAATATACTCCAGGGCTACGTCTAGACTGGCATGATTTTCTGCAAATGCTTTTAACGGAAAACGTTTCCATTAAAAGCATTTGAGGAAAAGAGCATCTAGATTGGCATGGACGCTTTTCCGCAAAAGCACTTTTGCACAAAAGCATCCATGGCCAATCTAGACACTCTTTTGCACAAAAAAGCCCCGATCGCCATTTTCGCGATCGGGGCTTTTTTGCACAAAACAAATCTGAGCTGTCTACACTGGCCCTTTTGCGCAAAAGCTTTTGTGCAAAAGGACTTTTGCCCGAATGGGAGCAGCACAGTATTTCCACAAGAAGCACTGATTTCTTACACGAGATCATCAGTATTCTTGAGGAAATCAAGCGGCCAGTGTAGACAGCTGGCAAGTTTTTCCGCAAAAGCAGAAAAACTTGCCAGTCTAGACACAGCCCAGGTATTTTGTACCAAACATATTTGCTAGTTCTTTTAATATTTTACATGAATCAAGTGCAAGGTGATTTGTTGAGTATAGTGTGCTCATCAAATCTAGGGATGATCCTGACAGAATTTTTCACCATCCAAAAACAGTGACTATTTATAAATCCCTGCTTTGTTTGAAATCAAAGGCAGGAACAGAAAAACAAAACAGGTATATTCCTTTTTGGAGGTAACAAGAAAAACTAAGTTTATTCCTCTTCACAAGCAGGAGTTATTATTTTAAAATAACAAGCCCATTATTTCGAAATAACAGGTGTGGCACTGTGGATGCTCACCACGTTATTTTGAAATAAGGAGAGTTATTGAAATAAGGAGAGCAATGTAGACATGCCCCCAGTGCTCTATGCAAACCACCTCTGTGAGGGGAGTAGATAATAGTGCTGGGTGCATGTATCCTAGTGCTGTAGCCTGGTTAACACTGGCACTTTACAGCACTGTAACTTGCTGTGTTCGTGTGTGTGTGTTTTTTCACACCCCTGAGTCAGATAGTTACAGTGCTGTAAAATGCCAGTGTAGACCTGGCCTAAGAAAGTTCAGAGGTTCACCCTGGCTTCAACCACATGGAACTCTTAAATCTGCACAACTGGGCTCTAACCCTGAAATATAATTGATAAAGGCAGACCCTTGTGTGCAGAAAAAAATCCCACTTCAACAGGTCTTGGAGTGGGTGACAGGGTCCACATTCATGTGGATTACACTGCAGGATCAAGGCCTGGATTGGAAATATCTGTAGAATACAGGGCGTCTCTGCTATAAGTCGCCCTGATATATATCCATTGCACACTAAAGTCGTTGACACTTGTAGGAACTGATGCGTTATAAGTCCTCCCATTCCCCGCTCTTAAGTAATGAAAAAAAACCCTCCCCAGAACCCTCCAAAAAAAAAAACAATTTGTGCAAATGGAAGTCAGTCATGGGGAAAAAATTCCCTGCTTTAAATCCAAGTTCTTTGGAAAGTATCTTGGACTTATAGCAAGGACGGCCTGTAGCCCCATCATAACACACAGCACAACTGCTTTGGCTGAAGTTAAAAGCCCAATGTGTGAAAAAAAGGAAAAAAGATCACTGTGGGAAAAGTTCATCCTCCATTTTATGTAATGCCCCAAACTGGAAGTTTAGACAAAGTTTGGCTCAGTTTTTATGGTATATCCAGTGGAGCCAACAACCTTTCTGGGCCCCAGGCCAAGGAGGGAAGAGGACCCACACTGTGCCCCCAGAATGGGAAGGTTTAGGGTGAAAGAGGTAGGGTTGAAGGCACCCAGCCCTCAGCATCACCCAGACTGTGGCACACTCCTTCCCCCCCTGCCGTCTATGCGGTCTGGACTGCATGGAAACAGTTTAAAGGGCCCGGGGCTCTGGCCACTACCACAGCTGGAATAACAGCAGTGTCAACTGGGAACCCTGGGCCCTTTTGTGTCCCCAGTGAAACTGCTCCCTTTACCCCTCTCTCTTCATTGGGCCTGGGTATAACTGAACCACTTTGTCCATCTCTATTTCTTTGGTTTCACCACAAAAACAAAACAGAAACCATTTTCTAATAATCCAAGGAATAAAAAAAAAAATTAAAAGCTATTCTGGTGGTACTATAAACATTAAAATGGAGACTGCAATAGCAGCAAACCTCACGTTGTTTAGCATCAGTTAACAGACATCAACTAGACATCAGAGGATGGATTTCTGGCCCCTCGCATTCCATACAATGAGCATATGGTCATACTTTCCTACAAAAAACTGACATCAGTCCCAGGGAATCTTTACCTGAATATGAGAAGACATGCAGTAAGAAGATGATGTCAAAAGAAATTTCAACAGTATATTTTCAGTATATCCCAGAGGGGTGTGAGATCTTGTCTTGGGGGATAGTAGAATTAACACAGCTAGCAGAAGAGGAAAACATCAGAAGAAAACAAACTGACAGTCTGCATCAAAGATAATCAAATCCAGCCATATGCAATCCCAGCAGAAGATTCGAGATAAACTAAAAGGTTCTGTAGTATTAAATGCTGCTAAAGCAGCACGTACAAATAGAAGAGAACGTATCTCACAATCTCAATAGATCTCTGGTTTTCGACTTTCTTTCACAGGCAGACCCTTAAAAAACTTCTGTTGGAGGTGCAGGCCCTTTAGAAAACTTTAGACATTGACTGTGGAACCCCATGTTGAACCTGGAACTCCATGAGTCTGCAGACTACAGGTTGAAATCCATGATATACAGACCAAATTCTAGGCTGGTGAAAGTCTATGTAGTTCCACTGAAATCATGAGAGCTATGCTGATTTATACTAGCTAAGGCTATAGGCCAGAAGGTTGTTGAACACTGTAGCACTGCTACCAGCTTTATACCCTGATGTTAAAATCAAGCAAAGAAATTGGAGAGTCCATGTGTCATTAACCAGGAAAGCATCTACTTCACAACAGCACAGTTTAGCATGTTTGCCAAAAAAGACAGGTTTTATATGGTTCAGGTGGAAAAGTGCAATGCCATCAGTAGTGTGGCCAAAACATTTGCTTTGAAAAGCAGGGTTCTTTTTTCCAAGGTCAACTTGAGGTTTCCTGGGTTCGGTGTAAAATGTTTTGTGGGGCCAAAGAAATATTTACTGGGTTGTAGGGAGCAGGGAGGAGATATGTAGTCTGAACATGTTTTAAGTCAGCCTGGGAGGTCTTTTGGGTTTTAAATATTTGTGTCTTCTCGGACAATTTTTGTGTGTGTGTGTGAGATACTGGAAATGGAAAAAATGGCTACTTCACAGTGGTTTTCAGTCGGGCGGCTTCCTGGACTGATCCAGCAGCATGGATGGCATGGCTAGTGTCTTCCTCCAAAATGCTGTTCTTAAAGACATTTTCATTTCACCACATCTGATGAATTGATACTGCAGAGTCTTGCCTAATGTTCTCAACCTTTTTTTTTTTTTTTTTTTTTGGTAAAACAAAGAGTTTCTGGATTGAGCAATGGCTTCCTTCACATGACCACTGACAATACAAGTGCTGAAAGAACGGCTTCCTAGGGACAGTGAGAGATGGAGTCTGCTGGGCACAGGCATAAGTGAATTGGCAGCATCAGACACATTAGCTCTTCAATGAGCAGGTGATTGGAAGTTGTGCTACTGTATGCTAAAGATCATCATCTGGATTCAGGAGTGGCAGTGAGAGGTTAAAAGAAATATCCAGTAACAATCACATTGGAAAAGAGAGAGCCCTTCTTATATCTGCCAAAGGAGCTTGGGAAGAATTAATGTCTCTGAGTCAGAAAGACTGAGAACAAGTGAAATACTACTACGGGAGTTGCCAGAATCCTCCTTGCCTAGAGGAGAGATAATACTGAACATGCAATTTAACCAGGCAAGTGCCAAGAATCCTTTTGCAGATGTCATGCAGCTGCTTTCAACTACAGAAATGTACACTGAACCCAGTGCTTAGACCTTCTCTGGTCTCCTCATTTGCTGATTATACCAGGGGAGCCTACAGTGAGGCGGGATGTCCTGAAATCAGAAAGGATCTGAGGAATCCTGTTAAGTAAAACAGCAGCTACAAAGTGAGCTACAGGTCCCTCCACATAATTGGGCAAATTACACAGAGTGGAGTAAAGAATTTAAATGGGAGAAAAAATCAAACAGGAGGTTGGGGGGAAGCAGAGTAGTTCCTTGGGTGATATGTGGTAGGGTGCTTCTTCTATGTCTGTGGGTAAAAAATACAATAAAAGAATGATCAGATATAGTCAGAGGTAGTCAGATCAGAGACAGTTAAATAAAGGAATGTGCTAACCTAGGATAAATGCGAAGAACTGGGCCTGTGGTTAGTGTGATGGTGCAGTCATCTTTAACAATTCAGGATTCAGACAGGGAGAATCCCCTTAGATCTTGGAATACCCCCCCAAATCCACATCAATTCTATCTGAAGGACTGGTAAGCAAAGGAACAAAATAAGGAATGGAAGGGAAAAGAGAGGGGATTTGATTCTCATCTACATTAAGGCTCCAGCAGAAAAAGGGGCATTACAGTGCATTTAAAGCACAGTTACTCCCATTTTAATGTCTTTTCACAGTGCTGAAGTGGCAGAGAGGAAAAATCAGAATCAGATTCAGTGTATCTGCAGAACTGACAAACAAGAAAGTTGCTGTTCAAGACAGCATGAAAATAGCTTAAAAGACGTGAACCTCTCTGGCTGTCTTAAAGTTTCTGCTGGTCACATGACTCAACTCTAGTAAGACTGGAAAAGGGCTTTTCCATTACCAGAGAAGCAGGGTTTTAAAAAAGGAGGCTCTATACAGAGCAAATGTGTACTGTGGATAGAGCCCATATAGGCCTTTATAAAACGTTTAGGTATATCTCCCACCTTAATGCCTCCTAAGATAGGGGAACATCTGGAAGCTCAGTGAATAACTTCTCAGATATGCCCAAGTTTGAATATGACAACAGGAATTTTGAATGCCAAATTTTGGTGTCTGCAAGCATTGCAGACTTTCAAAAGCAACCTCAAATTTGTAGCCTCCAAATTGAAATTTCAAAATTTTAGGCACACCATATTAGAACCTTCAATCTTTCCTTAACCTACAAAGTTGGATTTGCATGCACAAATAGTATTTTATCAATGTAAATTTGGAATTTAGATCTCCAGCTAATCTAGTGTGTGCTAAAAAGTGGCCTTTGGAGAATGAAAATAGTTGGACACTGAGGTTTGCAAATTAAGAAAATTAACCGTGGCCACCATAAACAATTTTGGCCATAGAAGTCTCTGTGAAAAACACTGTGCTCTGTATGGCTCACTTCCTGCTATTAGGTTAACCATAGATTGCAATATATTCTTATGGAGGCTGTTTGTACCGCTCAACTTGAAAAATGGTGCAGCTCCCGTATATCTGTGTGTCAAGTATGCAGTTACAATGATCGAGGAGTGAGGGGATGAACCTGAGGGAGTCAGAATGAAGGAGCTGGTTAAAACCCTTTGACCCCACTCTGTCAAGTTAATTTTACTCTGAATCAGACCTGTCTTTCTGTCATCTTAGATACCTCCAAAGTGCCTATCTCCACAGTGTTTAAGTGCTATGCAATGATTAAAAAGCATGGAATATGCCCATAAAGGACACCAATCTTAGTAACTCCTTCCTTTCTCAGGGGATGAAGCACTGGTTCAGAGGAGAAGACAAAAGGATATATGTATCCTCTTAGCATGTGCCCAAATGGGTGATGAAGATGAACCCACAACTCTGGTGTCTGGGGAAGCCTGTTGCAAAAACAGGGGCAAAAGGGGACATGAGGAAGGAATACAAACCTGCTTTATGAATGAGCAAATGTAATGATGGATGGCTAAGTGCCAAGAGAAGGCATAAATGTGATTGAATTTGCACAGTTGTAACTATTAAAGGTTATTTTACTTTTAATTCTTTGTGGTAATTTCTCTTATTCCTTCCTTAGAGAAGCCCTTGATTTTCACTTGCTAGATGCTTGGATGTGTTTGTCATACCCCAAAAGGTGATTTCAGTTCTTGGATTCCAGAAAACCTTTTCACTGATCAAAACACAGCTGCACATACTTGCTTGATAGGTTAATGGGTGCCACAGTTCTGGGGTATGTCTGTCTATACCTGTGAAAATATATATAATTAGTAAAACAGATATCATATGTATATGCAAATCCAGAAGGTAAAAATGACTTGTAATATGACAAACTTTTCATTTGCCAAACCTAATCAAACTATCTATCTCAATAGCATAACCAAACATATGACCTATATTCGTAATGCTGCTGTTGTAGCAACTTCAATACACTCTTGGTCTATTCTTTTAATTCTTCAGGGTTTTTTTTTAATGCAATCTCTTAAATATATATTTTGATTTTTTAAAAGCATGCTAATTTAATCTCCTGCACTCAGGACATCTATCTTCCTGCAGCTGAGTTGTTTCCATTACTTTTCACATGTGGGCAAGATGTATGATGTAAGTCCACAGAGCCACATGAATTGCCATTTGTTGGACAGAGATCATAGGTTTTAAGAAAGTGAAGACAGCAAATTGCTACCTAGTTTATATAAATTGTTTTTAGTAAAACATAGCAGTATATTTCCTTGTAGAGGCATGTAAATTAGACTACCCAACATAGTCAATGAAGCAGGGATTTAAATATCCCCGGCTTCATTAAAATAAAAATGATCACCGTGCTGTGCCGGCTCAGATGATCGTTGGCACAGCGCAACAGTCAAATGCGGCTCGGTCGACAGGGAACATCTTTGTCGACTGCTCCCTTATGCCTCATGAAACGAGGTTTACAGGAGAGGTCAACAAAGGAGTTCCCTGTCGACCAATCCGCGTCTTGACTGCTGTGCTGTGCCGACGATCAGTTGAGCCGGCACAGCGCGGTGGCCATTTTTATTTTAATGAAGCCGGGGATATTTAAATCCCTGCTTCATTGACTATGTTGGGTAGTCTAATTTACATGCCTCTGAAGACAGAGGCATGTAGTCTAGACATACCCAAAGAAACCAACAACAATTTCAGTGTTTTATTGTATTCATAAATTTAATATTACAATTATAGCTCTTTCTCCTAGGAGTCTTTCCTGCTCTTTTCCCATCTTATCTGCTCAGATTGGATGGCACAAAGGTCCTGGTTGAGGAAGGAACCTATGCATCTGAATTGTCAAACTGAAATCAATGAAACTACTCCATCTTCTATGTAAAGTTAAGCACCTGCTTGAGTTCTTTGTTGGACTGGAGAGGCATAAATAATTAAACCCCTGATCAAAAGCCAACTGAAGTCAAGGGAAGTCTTTCCTCTAACTTCAGCAGGCTTTGGATCAGGGCCTAAATGGTAACAATTTTGCATAATAAAATCACCCCAATTACATAAATAACAACACTTCTGCCACCACTACATTCATAAATATAACAATATTTTCAGAGGGGTAGCTGAGTTAGTCTGTTACTTGAAAAACTTAAAAAATAATGAATAGTCTAGCAGCACCTTAAAGACTAACAAAACAGGTAGGTAGTATCATAAGCTTTTGAAGGCAAAACCCAATATTGTTACTCTAACAATATGTTAGAAATATCTAAATGGCTAGGAGTTCAGCATTTTTTATAGTCGAACAAAGTTTTGTCCGGGATAAGTGCTACTTTAAATGCCCTTTCTTGTAATGTAAAAAATGAAAACAGACTTGTTTTACCTTTGTTTTTTTTGTTTTTTCTAAGACTCATTTCACAACAGTTAATTTTGAACTTTTAATTTTATTTCCAAAGCTTTGTTTGATAAAAAACTTTTCCCTTTTGGAGCTAATGATGAAAACTATAACTCATTTTTTTGCTCAGACACTTTGTAAGGAAATAAAATTAAAAGTTCAAAATTAACTGTTGTGAAATGAGTAGTTTTTATTCAGGATGTAACCAAATTAGCACAAACATTTTGGACAATTATGGGCAGATTTTCAAAAGAGCTCAGCTTACATTTAGGCACTTAGGGTATGTCTACACTGCCACCCTAGTTCAAACTAGGGTGGCTAATGTAGGCATTCGAAGTTGCAAATGAAGCCCAGGATTTAAATATCCCGGGCTTCATTTGCATCTTGCCGGGTACTGCCATTTTTAAATCTCCCTTAGTGCAGACTCCGTGCCCCCGGCTACATGCGGCACGGAGTAGGTAGTTCGAATTAGGCTCTCTAATTCGAACTACCGTTACTCCTCATGGAATGAGGTGTACCGGTAGTTCGAATTAGAGTAGTTCGAATTAGGCTCTCTAATTCGAACTACTGTTACTCCTCGTGGAACGAGGTGTACCAGTAGTTCAAATTTGAGAGTCTAATTCGAACTACCTACTCAGTTCCGCTTGTAGCCGCGGGCACGGAGTCCTCACTAATGGGGATTTAAAAATGGCGGCGCCCGTCAAGATGCAAATGAAGCCCGGGATATTTAAATCCCGGGCTTCATTTGCAACTTTGAATGCCTACATTAGCCACCCTAGTTTGAACTAGGGTGGCAGTGTAGACATACCCTCAGATAAAAGGTCTCAAACTCCTGGCCCAGGAGGCCATCTCTGGCTGTAATGATTGCACAATCTGGACCAGTGGGGCCTGCTGCAGCAGGAAGTGTGGGCTGTATGCCATCGGGCATCCCTCAGTGATCTCCAAAGCCATGTTTTCAGGGATGGGGTTCCATGAAAGGCAGGGATGCTGGCAGAAAGGGGTGGGGACTGGGGTTAGTAATTGAAAGCCCCCCCTTGCCCATCACTAGATCCAGGCCAGATTGCATAATTTCTCTGGCTGGGGATGGCCCTCAGCCAGGAGTTTGAGACCTTTGACCTAGATGAACCAATTGTCCATGTTTAGCACTTTTGAAATTCTGACCATTGGAAAATATCAGCTTGGTACCTAGTTATTATGATGATGAGCATATTGGAGATTATTATTTCATTTTACAAAAATTATTTACACAAAGATAGTGGCATCCAACTAATCTGCATCTGATGTAATTTTGTCTTCATTATGAAGAACATTTTTAGTTTTATGAATTTACCTCAGAATTGGATGTGTCTAGGAATGTTTTGTAGTTTCTGAATAGATAACAGAGACAGATTTCTGTATACAGCACAGTGTGTTCTCGTACAGAAGAATGATACCTGTGATAGTTCAAACTTGAGTAGAGGCCCCTCTGAATCATTTATCACTTGTTGCTTTTGACTTACTAAGGACTGATTCATTGTCCATAGATGTCAGGGGATGGCCCATTTAATAATTATCTGTTCTGTTCATTCTTTCAGAAGCACCTGGCATTGGCCATTGTTAGAAAACAGGATCCTGACGTAGGTGGACCTTTGGTCTGACCCAATATGGCCCTTCTTATGATGTCAGTGGTGAAGGTTCCACTGACTTCAGTGATGTAAGATCAAGAACTGTTTGCTCATCATGATCCACAGGGTCAGTCTTGTGAGGGTGTGCGAGTGTGTCTCTTCATAGCAATGGGAGTTAAGGTCATGCATGCCTCCTATGAGTAGGAAAGGAGGCCCGTAAGCATGTTTCCCTATCACATTTATCTTTCCCCGTCTATTGTGATTTTCTTGCCAGTTACTGCACTTCTTTTGTGGAAAGAGATGATAGTACTAGTTTGCTTCCTGTCTGTGTGCATGAAGAAGTGAGAGGAAAAATGTAAATCCTTTTTGAAGGGAGACTGCCAGGCAAGAAAATCCTTTGTCAGTCAGTCTGTCTGTCTTAGGCTACGTTTACACTGCAGCAGTTTTTTGGAAGAGGAAATGCAAATGGAGCTCTCATTTGCAAATCTTGTGCTCTCATTTACATATTCTCTTCCTATCCTTTTTGCCATTTGTTGGAAAAAAACCATTTTGCGCAAGATCCCTTATTCCTCAAAAAATGAGGTTTACAGGATCTTGCACAAAATGTTTTTTTTCTGACAAATGGCCCCGCCTACATAGGGCTTTTTATTGCACAAACCTCTTCCGCAAAAAGGATCAGAAGAGAAATATGCAAATGAGAGTGCGAGATTTGCAAATGAGTGCGAGATTTGCATTTCCTTTTCCAAAAAACTGCCACAGTGTAGATGTAGCCTTAATAAGATTCTTCCAGGTCACCCATCAAACTGGTATTTACAGGTACAATTTTTGGCAATGCATAAGCCTTGTTTTCAGAGCTATACATGCAAGTTTATAATGCTGGACATGGAGTGAATAATAGTCACTTAGCTGATGGCATGACGATGTTTTTGAGTATAGTAATACTCAACTTCACAGATTTTCTCATTTTTAAGCATAATAACCTTGACAATGTCTCTAAGCAATAATTATTAAATAGAAATAGTCAAGTTAAAGTATCATGCTGGATGCATATAGGGTTTGATTCTGTGCCTACAAAAAGTCCCATTATTTTCAGTGGTGGGCACTCAGGTTTTAGTGTTCATATAAATAGTACTTCACAAAGTGCTCTGTCAGTGCTGGAAAGAAGGAGCCGTACCGCAGGATATGCGGGATGCTAAGATCGTCACCCTCTACAAGAATAAGGGCGAGAGAAGTGATTGCAACAACTACAGAGGCATCTCCCTTCTTAGCATCGTAGGCAAAGTATTTGCTAAGGTCATCTTGACCCGACTGCAGAAGCTGGCTGAACGTGTCTACCCGGAGTCACAGTGTGGTTTCCGCGCAGAACGGTCAACCGTAGACATGATTTTCTCCCTACGACAACTCCAGGAGAAGTGTAGAGAACAGCAGATGCCCCTGTACGTCTCCTTCATTGATCTCACCAAAGCCTTTGACCTGGTCAGCAGAGACGGACTCTTCAAAATCCTTCACAAGATCGGCTGCCCACCAAAACTGCAGAGTTTGATTGAATCCTTCCACACAGACATGAAGGGAACAGTGCAGTTTAACGGCAGTTGCTCCGAGCCTTTCAGCATCAGCAGCGGCGTCAAGCAAGGCTGCGTTCTTGCCCCCACATTGTTTGGGATCTTCTTTGCCCTGCTCCTTAAGCATGCCTTCGGCTCAGCAACGGAAGGAATCTACCTCCGCACCAGATCGGACGGCAAGCTATTCAATCTCTCTCGCCTCAAAGCCAAGACGAAGATACGCGAGACGCTGATCAGGGACATGATATTTGCCGACGACGCAGCAGTCGTCACACACACCCAGGAAGAACTACAGTCGCTGATGAGCCGTTTTTCCATGGCCTGCAAAGACTTTGGGCTGACTATCAGTTTGAAAAAAACAAACGTCCTAAGCCAGGACACTGTCACTCCACCAGCCATCACAGTAGACGACTACCAGCTTGACGTCGTCCACCAGTTCACGTACTTGGGCTCCACCATCACCGATAATCTCTCCCTTGACGCTGAGCTCGACAAGAGGATCGGGAAGGCAGCCTCTACTTTAGCCCGCCTGACAACCCGAGTGTGGACCAACCCCAGGCTGACAACCGCAACAAAGATGGCAGTGTACAACGCCTGCGTCATCAGCACCCTGCTGTACGGGAGCGAGACATGGACCACATACGCGAGACAAGAGCGGAGACTGAACGCCTTCCATCTACGAGGTCTGCGCCGCATCCTGGGTATTACCTGGCAAGACAAAGTCTCCAACTTCGAAGTTCTGACTCGAGCCGGCCTCCCCAGCATGTACACCATGCTCCGACAACGTCGCCTGCGTTGGCTTGGCCATGTACGCCGCATGGAGGATGGGAGGATCCCAAAGGACATCCTCTACGGGGAACTGGCATCTGGGAAGAGAACCACAGGGCGCCCGAACCTGCGATTTAAAGATGTCGTGAAGAGGGACATGAAAGCCATCGACATAAACACGCAGTCCTGGGAAGACCTCGCAGCAGACCGCCCAAAGTGGAGGGGCACCCTGACCACACAGCTCAAGTCAGGCGAAACGAACATGATGCGTGCATCAGAAGAAAAGCGAGCCCGCAGGAAGTTACGCAACAACAACAGCCAGGGAACCACCTATAGCTGCGACTTCTGCGGCAAAGAATGCCTGTCCCGGATTGGCCTTTTCAGCCACCAACGACGCTGTCCCCGACGCTGTCCCAGACAATTCGACACGAACCAAGACGAGAACTAGGATACGTCATCCATGGTCAACTGACCGACGGAGGCCAACAACAAAATAGTACTGAGCAATGATGTGGTAAATTTCTTGATGATCATTCATATAAATCTTATTAATACATATTTCTTGAGGAACACTTAGTGGAATAAAAGTATGAGCGTACACTTTACTTTACCATTAAGGTCTCAATTCAGACCAATAAAAACACAGGCTTTTAGGTATGCACTTAAGTCTTATTGAGTTTGATGAAATGAACACATCAGCTTAAAGTTAAGCAAAGTCTAAAGTGATCTTCTGAACAGGGATGCTTTCCTGAATTGGAATTAAATAAAGATATGTTCTCGTTCTAGCATAAACTACTGAGCTTATTGATGCAAGAATTACTGGGTAAAATGCTATGGTCTAGGCTGTGCATGATGTCTGCCAAGATGGTCATAAGAGTCCCTCTATCTGACATTAATATCTATTAATCTAACCCTTAGTCATATGGTCTTGACTACAAACTTGACTGTGAGTTCCCAACATTTTTACTGTAATAATAATAATTATCATAGACTCATAGAACACTAGAACTGGAAGGGACATTGAGAGGTCATCGAGTTCAGTCCTCTCACTCATGGCAGGACCCAGTACCATCTAGACCATCCCTGATAGATGTCTATCTAACCTGCTCTTAAATATCTCCAGAGATGGAGATTCCACAACATCCTTAGGCAATTTATTCCAGTATTTAACCACCCTGACAGTTAGGAAGTTTTTCCTAATGTCCAACCTAAACTCCACTTGCTGCAGTTTAAGCCCATTGCTTCTTGTCCTATCCTCAGAGGCCCGGAGAAAATTTTTTCTCCCTCCTCCTTGTGACACCTGTTTAGATATCTGAAAACCGCTATAATGTTCCCTCTCAGTCTTCTCCTTTCCTAATTAAACAAGCCCAATTCTTTCAGTCTTCCTTCATAGCTCATGTTCTCTAGACCTTTAATTATTCTTGTTGCTCTTCTCTGGACCTTCTCTAATTACTCCACATCTTTCTTGAAAAGAAACAATAAGTGATAATTAATTAATTAGGATTTCCAAGTGTTTGCCATTAGGTGGCAACCTCTGGAATGACCCTTCATACCAGTGCCTGCTTCAGTTCCCCCATCAAGAGGCTTCTTCAATAACTCACAGGGTCCTTATGTCCCTTCACAGTCTTTCTCTGGTTCTGGTTTATTATATTAACACACATTCAAACTAAAGTTTTCAAGTCCCCACCAAGTCCTTCTAGTCCATCTATGTACCTCTTTATTAGGTCATTTCCAGGCCTTTCCTTTCGTGGTCTAATGCCCAAAGTTCTAGATTTCTCTGATGGACTCTACTTGCTCCCAGAAGCCTTTGTATTCTACTCTAGTCTTCCTGAGGAACTCCTCCCTGTACACAGATTCTTTGTCTGTGTGCATGAGGAAGTGAGGGGAAAAATGTAAATCCAATTTGCCCTGTCACAGTGCATGTATCAATAAAATCATCTCATATCCTGTAAGATAGGGAACTTGGGCCCAGAAGCACTTATGGTACTATTCTTTACATTATACCTGCTGACACTTCAACCCACTTTGTGGCTACATCTACATTGGCATCCCTTTCCGGAAAAGGGAATAAGTAAGAATAATAAATCCTCCGAAAAAAGGGCTTATTTTCAAGAGAATCGCGTCTAGACTGGCGCTTTTCTCCGGCTTATCCCCAAGCCGGAAAAAAGCGGCAGCCATGTAAATGCAAATGCCGCGGGGATATTTAAATCCCCCGTGGATTTGCAATTCCGAAGTGTCTAATCTGCATCCCTTTTCTGGAAAAGGGGTGCAATGTAGACACAGCCTGTGTGTCTTGTCTATGATTTTTGCTCTTCTTCTGTGGGGAGAATTTGGGATTAGAGCACTGTGTGCCTAGTTTCACACATCTCCTACCCTAAAATAGCAGAAAGTTAAAGAAAGAAACAGTGTGCATGTGTGTGTGTGTGTGTGTGTGTATGTGTGTGGTGGGGCGTGTGTAAATTATCACAATTGATGTAAATGGGCTTATGACAGTTTACACCAGATCAGGATCTGGCCCAGATAATACAGAAGAAAATAAGGCCCTGATACCACCAGCCACTTAAGTACATGCAAAGTGCTAAGGATATGCCTAAATTCCATTCCTTTTCAATATGTGCTTAAATGCTTTGCTGTGTCTGGGCTGGACAGTTAAACATGAGAGAGAGGTAAGTGGGATGCACAATAAGAAGG